AATCTCTGGCCAGGGAGCTAACCCATAGGGCACAGCAGACCTCTCCTGTCTTGCCCGCTGCTCCCCTTAGCATTCACCCCCGCACCTCTGGCCTACACTCATTCTTCTGTGCAAAATAAATAATGCTTTCTTTGGGGAAAAATCTCACTCTCAACACCCAACAATTCTTACAGCAACCTCACTATTTCTTTAGCGTTACTTGCTACACTTGCCATGCTCCCATACCATGTGTTCATATCTTACATCACCATTATGTTGCTTAATAATTAATCTATTTACTTACCTCCCCTGCTAGACTTTGAGCTCAAGGATAGGACTAGAATACTTGGCATCTATAGCACTTGTAACAATGTCTGACACATAAAAGATGCTCCAAAAAATGGTTGTGAATGAGTAGGCTTATTTTAAAAGCAGTCTTATGAATTAACAGGTAAACCTTATTTTTAGAGGTGTCCAGGTTATTGACTCTTGATGACTTTGTGCTTAGGCAGCATGAACATTATTAGACAGAAGCCCAGCTGCTCTTAGAGTTCTCCATCTCCATCTTGCTTGTGACTATTATTCCTTCACTGAGTGCCAATGGAGTCTGTGTTACTCAGCTGGCTAGTCATCCGTCCCATGAACTGTTTGGGGAGTATACAAAATAAAGAGCACTATACAAAAGTCATGACAAACTATGTTCTAATAACTGATAACTTTGTTAGCCAAGAATTAAAATGTCTACCAACATTCCTCTTAAGTGGGCCCAAGTTATTACTATTTCCATCCACAAATGAGGAAACCATGATCATGAAATCAATGACCTTGACTTGTTCAAAATAAATGGAATAAGTAACACTACTAGTACTAGAAACTAACTCCTAGAATTTCTTGGAAGGCATTTTCCTTTGAGAGTAAATCAACACATTATAAACCACAAATGGATTTAGACCTAGAACTTAAATCAGGGGAAAATTTTTTTTATTTATTTCTCCTCCTGAGGAAAAAAAAAACAAAAAACTTGTGAGAAACAAACACTGAGGTGACTTTTCCATGAGATCTTCAGATTATCATTAATGAAAAAGAAGTCTACTTCTTGGCATTGAGGCCTAGTGGGGACAATCAAAATAATTCTGCCTGGTCACATTTAATGATAGTCAGCTTCTAAACACTTATCCTCAAACTCTTAAAGTTAACTGTTTAGAGCCAATGTGATCATTTCATGCTAAATGTTAATTCCACCAAAAGCCCCTGACATCTACCAAAATACAGTAGAATCAAAGAATTCAAAAGCATCCAATTATGGTCAAACTCCTGGAATAAATGAGGCAAGCTTGCTCTCCTGCACACGTTAGGAAAAAAGATGGAAAAAAAGGTACACCTGGAAATGAAAGGCAGGGAGAAAAATGAAGGGTTAAGATAACCCGTTCCTGGTCTCAATTCCAAAAGGAATTTTGTCACAGAGAAAAACTAAATAAAGTGTCTCTATTTTTATACTGAGTGAGTGAAGTGGAAAGAAAAATGAGAAGACATTTGGAGAAATCAGGGCCTGAAATCTCAACAGTATTAAAGCTAACTTTCCATAACAAATAGTTTCCAAAAATAGGGCTGGCAGGAAACTATGCTGGGATTTGTACCAAGACTGTCAAAGTCACTACAGTTAGAAAGGCTCTGAGTACAGAACAAGGCCTAGTCGGTGGTCAGTCCAGAAAGGAAGAAAATCTAGGATATTCTCTGAATAGTGACTGTAGAGAAAAAAATGGGTCACCCACTCCCCGTAAATAAAAAAATAAAACCTAAACTGAATTCCCTGGGCTGCTCTGGGCCAGCAGAGCGACCCCTGTGGCGCTACAGTTAATCGGGCTGAACAGGCAGGGGTCCCGGCTTCCTGCAGCCGCTGCCCGGAGGCCGTCAGGAACCGGGACAACGCCAGTTGCTGGCGTTTGCAGGATTTAGAAGCAATGGCAAAATACTGCAAGATCTCTCTCCCGAGACCCAACCCCTAGTAAGAATCTTGGAATTGAAGTACGCTGATCTCGAACTGAGAGCTATTTAATTTTCTAGGAGCCTGGCTTCGGGTCCGACCTCGAGAGCAATCTGGGAAAGCAGTATAGGGGTGAGAAAAATAAAAGGAACGGGGCCGCGCGACCCCGGCGTAGGGAGTAACAAAGTGATAACGGACCGTGACCCCAAAGCCCTGAGGCGACCCGGAGCGGCTGGGGAGGGGTCACAAGGACTCGGAGGCTTGCGGCCCCCGCACCCATGGGATCTCCCCCTGCCCGGGCACAGGAGAAACGCCATCGGCGAGACATCAGAAGCAAGTCCAAGCCTTCCGAGGGCCGCGAGTACCGACTCCCAGCCCCAGACTAAAGTCACCTCAACAAGAGCGCAGCCATCTTGGGTTCCGGCCTGGACGGAAGTGATACAGACGCTCCGCCCTCTCTGCCCGGGAGGGGGCGGGGCGGATCCTGTCACGTGATGTAGCGGGGCCCTTTAAAAGGCTCCAGCCCCTCGGCTGCTGACGGATCAGCCCAAATGCTGGGATTGTGTGACCTCGGCGCGCTCCTCCCCCGGCCCCCTCGGCGCTCTTCCAGCAGGGGCTGCCAGGGTGTTGGCAGAGGTGCGGCACACTCAGGCTCTGCGTCTGCGTCTCATAAGCACCCGGTTTTTCTCTACCGTTTCAGTTCACTGTCAGGCGAAACACCCTAGATTTTCTTCATGTTCTGAACTGTCCAATCTGTCAACTTGATTTGTTTCACACCCAACAGCTGACTTGCCCAAGGACTTCTCAGTCCAGTTTCACCCCTCCGTGGCAGACTAAACACGTCTTGGTGGGCCCGTCAAAACTTCCAGACAAAGGGTTCTTTGGGTTGCCTCAGGTTCCCAAAAGTGAGAAACATAATTTGAGATCCAAGTGGGGGAGTGTGAGAGTGGGCCGGGTGGGGGTAGGGGGCGCCTAATCAGTCCCAAGACCAGGCCTGCTCTGACTACCTCGCTTTATGCCCCCCATTCTTGCTTAAGCTACCACATGAGCTAGTCGCCCACCAGTCATAGACAAGGCTCCCTTGTTTTTTCTTTCAGAGCTGCGTGGGTGTCACCCACAGAAAAACCTGAGTTGGGGGTGGGGAGAACTCACTTTGATCCATATATGTATCTCAGGAACCCAAGCACAGTGATCAATTACAGAACATTTATGACTGAAAAGAGGAAAATAGAGCAAGTAAGAAAGAAACGGAAGAATTTTGCAAAAATTCTTGAGTCTTTGAGAGGGAGGAGGGTAAAGACGATGGCCCAGGGCAACTCCCATTCTGCAATCGAATGTATTCCGTTGCATTAATATTCAGATCTTATTTATATTTAGCACTTCTGCACTTTTCCTTTCAGGATTTAAATAGCACAAATTCACTTATTTATGCATCAAATAAAAATACTATTTTGCATTTCTATAATGCTTGACAAAGAAAGCACTTTCACAGACTTGTATTGGAGGAATAATAGAAGGTCTCCAATCCCATGATCTACCCAGTGGAAAAATCTGCAACATTGCTGACCCTGATTTTGAAGATCAGGCTCTAACACCAGTTCGACAATGGTTAATCAAAAAAGCAAGTTTCCTTTAGTGAACAAGGTAATAATTAGAAAGTTGTTATATTAAAATACAGTTCTCTACTATTGAACTTTTAGTCTTTGATCCTACATTAGCCATCTAGGACTTCACATTAGCAAATCAATGCATGCCTCTTTCACTAACTAAATAATTTCATTTAACATATGTGTATCAACTTTCTGTCAGTAAGTGAGAGAACTTTAGAGGATTTAAAGATACAGATTTGTAAGCTTAAAGCCTTAGTTGGATCAGTAAATAAGTAAATACAAGAAAGAAAGTAGCAACCCCTTGAAAGAGGTATAGGGGAAAGGAATGGGTAGATAAAAGCTGAAGAGGTGGGGATTAGGAATAAATATTGACTGCAAAATCCTGTAGACATTTCTTGATGATGATTTGACCTATGGAGTTTATGATGAACTCCCATATTTAACTTAACCCCACCTTTGTCTCCCCAAACCAGATTCTGAATTCCTCAAAGGAGGGACTTAATTTTTAATATCCTCTTCTATTATCCGCATACCCATACTTTACATGTAGCTGGCACACAATACAATTTTGTTGGATTGTTCTAAATTGAAATGGGCTTAAACTGCAGCATGAAGCAGGCATTGAGGAGCTCCTGACAATGAGGGAAAGTAGGGGGATCCTTCCCTGGGTATTTTCCAGTGGAGAAAAGCTATCTGGGAGGACTCACCAGGATGCAGGAAGAGGTGAAGAAAAATTTTTTAAAAAGACCCCAAGGGACCTGGTCATCTCAAGAGAACTGGAATGCATTCCACGGTGGTCAAAATATGAAGGGATATCCAAGTTCCCTGGGGGAGACTTGTCTCTAGCTCCTAGGGCTTTGGGAAAGCCCCACTCAGGCAGGGAGACAAGAGAGGTATCCCTTGCTCTTAGGATTCAGGCCCTAGGATTCACACTCAGAGAAGTGTGTTTGTGTCCCTTTTTCTGTCCCTCTTTCTCATTCCCTCCCCAACATTCCAGCCTAGGGCAGGGGGAGGCAAGCAGACACAAAGTCTTCTATGTCTGGGGTGGTATGTGTCCCCCCACCCCTCCACCCAGAAGACACAATGCCCCTTCTGCTTCCTGCACTCTGCCCCCCTCCCCACCACCTCTCAACTGCACATGCCAAGCAGCAATTGGTTACTGGCTCAGGACAGCCCCCTCAGACTGGGGCCCTGGGGGATTTTAAGCGGGTTCCAGGAACCCCCGCTCAGTTCCTTATCCCCCACTCTCCCAGTCCCACAGCTGCTTTGGGTCCTGGCCCCTGCCCCAGCTATGGCTCCTGGGGCTCCTTCATCCAGACCCAGCCCTATCCTGGCTGTGCTGCTCTTCTCTTTGGGTAAGTCTGGGAGACTGGGGCTTAGGCTATCTCTCAGCAACCTTCCCACTGCCTTTGCTGCATTTCTCACTGCAATCAAAGCAGGAAGATAAGATTATATTCAGAGAAAAAAAATTGTTTGGAGGGAGGCATTAAAGGTATTCTGTGAACGGAGAAGGCAAAAGAGAGTGTTCACAGCTTTCCTGAGTAGACTAGACCCCAGTTGAAACCAGTAAAATACCCCCAGGACTATGCTGAGGGCCTGGTAGGAATCAAGTCGGATCAAGGTAAGGAATCTTTGGAGATTCTAGTCCCCATTCCTCCTCTAGTAGTGCAGGAGATACCTGACCTTAGTGTCCCCAATGAGAAAAGTCAGGTAATGGGTTCTAAGGAAGGAATCCAATGTTTATGGTCCCAATGCTTCACATCCTTTGTCTCTTGGTGCCTCAGTTTCTCTCTGTGGCACCATTATCTATTTCAGTGGGCAAATGGGGTATAAGGGAGATTCTATGAAATTCTAGGACCTTGTCTATGGAAAGCTCTCTCTCATCATAAGTTGACCAGCTCCTCCTTACCCCATGGTAGATATTAAGTGAACAAGAGCATGTCAAAGCAGGGTTATTTGTGTGGATCTTTCCTATCTCTGAACCTCCCTGTAGCCTCCTGCAATGGTTGAGCAGTAGGCAAATAGTGGTGGGGGACTGGTCAAAATGTTCAAGTTTCTCTGTGTTAGCTCCTTAAGACCTAAACCTACAAGCTAGACTCATCTGGGCGATAGTAGACTATTGTGGGAAAAAGTTAAGACGAGGGAGCTGGGGAATGGTATGGTAAGGGAAATGGTAAATCTTGGAGTATAAATGGGGAAATAGAGTTCTGTCTTGACATTGGTCCTACTCATAGAACCATTGAGCAGTGCTGCAGGGCAGTGGTGGAGAATAGAATAGGAGGGATAGAAGTGGGGTCCAGTGAATAACCTTCCTGATTACATTTGGGATTCCCAAGAAAGCTTTAAGGCTGAAGTGCCAGGAGGTGAGTCAATGATTTTGCACTGAGGTAGAGACCTGGGACTATGGAGTAGGGAAGGGTGAGTTTCATGAGGACCAAGGTTGGTCAGACAATGGGTCTTTGTTGTTCAATTGCCTCCTCACCATCCTGTAGAACAAAGGGGTCTACAGTGGCCCCCACCAGGACCAGCCCACACACATAGTCTCCCTGGAATGGCCTTTCATGTGTGGGTGAGTCTTGGGAGTGGCACCAGGCCAGAATGGCCAAAAGGAGAGTGAGGAGGGTCAAAGCACAGAGGGCTCACATGCAGAGTCCTCTAGGCTTGGGAATCTTGCTCTTTACAGCTTCCCTGAGAGAAGTATAAGGACCTTCCATTCCTGACCTCCCAGTCAAGAGTCAGCGGTCAGTCAATCAGGGACTCAGCAGGGAGAACAATTAGGCCAGGAAGGGAGACCTATATTCTTTCTTTTTTTTTCTGCAAGAAATTTGAAATACTACACAGCTGTAAAAAGTCAGATAGATTACTATGATTCAAATGGAAATCCCCACCAGATACATATATTCTTTCTTTTGTATGCAAAACACTAAAATATAATGCAATATATGTAGAAAGCTCAAAAAAACAAAAACTATTTCTTATAATAACTTGAATTTATTACATTAATATGAGATTGAATACATGAGAGAACGTTACACATTAAACTGATAACAATGCTTAATCTGGGAAGGAACAACAGAGACTTTAGTTTTATCACTGTTGCTTAAATAGTGTATAAGAATGCTATATGTATGATCTGTGTAATCTATAAAAATTTTTTAAAAATCTTTAAGCCTGTGCCTAAGGGATGGTTAGATACTGACCCAAAGGGAAGGTGTGACTGAATCCAACTTCTGGAAGTTCTCAAGAGAGGACTGTTACTGTTGCTTTCATTTCCTTTATCAGACAGAAGAACTTGAACAACAAAGCATTTTTTGTTCATTTTAGTCCAGAAAGATTCAGGCTTAGAATTGGTCATTTCCATCCCATATTTGCATTGAATTTTGACACAAGCCTTGCCTTCCCATTGCTCTCACTTTCTGTCTCTGCCTTGGGCTCATGTGTGCATCTGATCCCCCTCTCTGCTGCAGTGCTCTCCCCGGCCCAGGCCATCGTGGTTTACACGGATCGGGAAGTCCATGGTGCTGTGGGTTCCCGGGTGACCTTGCACTGCTCCTTCTGGTCCAGTGAGTGGGTCTCAGATGACATCTCCTTCACCTGGCGTTACCAGCCCGAAGGGGGCCGTGATGCTATCTCGGTGAGTACCTAGGGCAATCCTGGTACTTTTCAAGAACGAAAAGAGGAGGGGTTAAGGAGGGGAAATCCTTTATAAGCCATCACCTCAATTTTGGTAAGGTAAATGGCAATCTTTTTCTCCTGATAGGACTTTTCTAAACTGTCCCCCTCCCCAGCACCACCCTCTCCAATTCCAGACCCCTCACTCACTCCAAGCCTAGAGCTCCATGCTTCCCCTCATTCTTCACAGATCTTCCACTATGCCAAGGGACAGCCCTACATCGACGAGGTGGGAAGCTTCAAAGAGCGCATCCAGTGGGTAGGCGACCCTCGCTGGAAGGATGGCTCCATTATCATACACAACCTGGACTACAGTGACAACGGCACATTCACCTGTGATGTCAAAAATCCACCCGACATAGTGGGCAAGACCTCCCAGGTCACGCTCTATGTCTTTGAAAAAGGTGTGAGAGGAGATGGGGGCAGGGGCCTGGGAGGCAGAACAGGGAGGGGACCAGGGAGAACTGAGAGACTGTGGGGAGAGGCAGGACGCTGGAGCCCTTCTGGCTCTGGGAAGGTGGGCAGGAGATACCTTGACTGGGAGCCCTGCAACCCCCAACTTTAGGGTGTGGTGGCTTGGGACCAAAGGTGCATGTTCCTGCTCATTCAGTGAAGATCTTTCCCTCTCCTAGTGCCCACGAGGTATGGGGTGGTGCTGGGAGCCGTGATCGGAGGTGTCTTGGGGCTGGTGCTGCTGCTGCTGCTGCTTTACTACCTGATCCGGTACTGCTGGCTTCGCAGGCAAGCGGCCCTGCAGAGGAGGCTTAGGTAAGGGCAAGCCTGACTCCCCTTCCATCGCTCCAGAGGCCACTCCCGCGGGCTGAGAGGGTTCAAGAGAAGGGGCACTGTGCCCACTGTGACAGGCGCTGGGGCACAGCCAAACCCAGCACCCCTTTCTCTGCAGCGCCATGGAGAAGGGGAAGTTGCACAAGTCTGCAAAGGACTCCAAACGTGGCCGGCAGGTGAGCCGGACTCAGACCCGCACAAGCTGAGGCGGGGGAGAGGGGCAGCCGGGCAGCGCTGACGGTGGGGTGGATGATGCGTGTCCTCTTGCCGCAGACACCAGTGCTGTATGCCATGCTGGACCACAGCAGAAGCACCAAAGCTGCCAGTGAGAAGAAGAAAGGGCTGGGGGATTCTCGCAAGGATAAGAAATAGCGGTTAGCGGGCCGGGCGGGGGGTCGGGAGTCCGCGGCGGAGTCCTCCAAGGGCTCTCGGGTGGTGGTCATCGAGATGGAGCTACGAAAGGATGAGCAGAGCTCGGAGCTCCGACCAGCTGTCAAGTCCCCCAGCAAAACCAGCCTCAAGAACGCCCTCAAGAACATGATAGGCCTGGACTCTGACAAGTGATCGCCGCCTCTCCCCTAGGCCCTACTAGAGCAGGGGGACCTAGGCCCCTCTTATCACCTGTCTAGGTGCTTTCCGCCCTAGCCCCCCAGCCCTGCCCTGCCCACGCCTCCCTTTGAGATGTAAGTTTCATTCCAAAACTCAAACCCCTCCCACCTGCTATGCTCCCTCCCTCGCCCTCCCCTCCCCCCAGGCTTTCTGGAAGCCCAGGGCCGGATCCTACCCATCACTGGCCCCAAGGACTGTGTGTTTGGTGCCTGTCCCTCTGGCACTGAGAAGAAAGGGACCTTGATACCCCCTGCCACAACCCAGGTCACCCGGCTTTCCCATCTCCTGCTGCCACCCACCCTGTCCTCTGGCTTTTCCCACTTTTTCAATCCCTCCCCTCCATCAGGTCATCCAGCAACATTTTCTACCCTACCCCCCCAACCACACCCCCCAACCCCTCCACGCCCCCTACGCCCCACCCCCCACCCCCTTAGCTAACACCCTGGTCACCCAGAGCAGACTCTCCTTCAGGGTTTATTTAGGTTTGGTGGTTATTTTTTATTTTTAATCCACTCTATTTGTTTACCTGTGCCTTTGCTCTGCCCTCTCCCCATGACTGAGTACCAATGACGTCATGTGGTTTTTGCAATTCCCCCCACCCCAATTGAGTCCTTCTCAGACAGCCAGCTCAGGAAGAGGGGACCCTGATCCTCAAACCTCAGCTGCAGGATTGGTGCCCCCTCACCACTTCAGAGCACTGTCCTGAGACTCGAGGTCACAGGGAAGGAGAGAGGGAAAGAATGGGTCCTCACAAGACAGGGGGGTTGAGGAGGGGGCAGTGAGCCCTAAGAAATGACTTTTAAACAACCAAACAGGAAAAACAAATGAGAAAGAGGGGGAAGGGAAGAGGCTGCATTCCCAGCCACAGAGGATTCTTAGGATTTTTCTACATTCTGTATATTTCTTCTCAAACCCCCAAATATCCCTAAATGTTTAATAAACACTGACATTTCCAGAAGCTGCTGTCTCCAATTTCCTCATTCTCTTGGGAATAATCCCTGCCCTTTATCACATTCCTCACCCTCCCTGGATCCCCCTCCTCATCAACTAGTTTCAGTTGTTAAAAGTTTGGTTTTATGGTATAGGAACAGTGGAAAGAACTCTGAAACACACTCACAAGACAGATTCATACATTCAACAAATACCCAGTTGGCTTATACTACCAGGCTGTCAGGCTAAGCATTTATATAGGTAAAAACACACACTCCCCTCTTCATCCAGATCTGAATTCTTAAAATAGCTCAGCAACTGGCTAATCCTTTATAATTGTATGGTGTGACCTGTTACTTTACTAGTTAGCTGACTTTACTAGTTAGCTGATTTAGTTCCATGTTTGTAAACAACACAGATAATGGTACTAAATCCCCTGGCCCTGCTTAATTCCCAGGGTTGTTGTGAGAGTCAAATGAGGTCCTGTGTATGGAAAACTTTGTAATCTCTATATTGATTTACAACTGAGATATTGAGGTTCAGGCCTTTAAAGTGTTACTAGATCTTGCCTAAAGGATTATACTTTATAAACTAGCACAAATCCCAGTCACCTCTAGAAACTCATGCACACACAATTTTGTTTTGTTGGTATGCTGTTTTAAGTACACTATTAATAGCTCATCCACTTGTTTTTTTGGTGCAGTAATTTAGGTGCACCATTACTATCCTGGAATGATTGTGGAAAAATATATATGTATTATTTTCCCCTGGGGGGAACACTGATGGCAAAAAGAAAAAAAGAGATTCACACAATCACTTCTTCACTTTGTTAAGAGGTTAAAGATAGATTTTTTAGCACCAGCTTTGCCAAAAAGCCCAGAGTTCTTCCATTTATTTCAAGGGGTCTTCTTCTTCAAAAGTCTACTACTTTTTTTAAAAAAGCAAATTAGCCCAAATTCATTTTATTTATTTTTTTTTTTAAATATTAAATTTTATTTTTATATTCCCCCATACAATTGCAAACGCCCCATTCTGACCCCAATCCTTCCCCTCCCGCCCCCTACCCCCCAAAAGTGTCTCTGGTTCATAGTTTTTTGTTGATTTTGATTTTCACTTTCTTATATTCATTTTCCTGGTCCCTTATTTAAGTTTCTAGATTCCTGCTATGAGTGAGACCATCCGGTATTTTTCTTTTTCTTTTTGGCTTATTTCGCTGAGCATGATCCCTTCCAGTGCCATCCATGTTGCTGCAAATTGCATGTGTTTATCTTTTTGAATGCTGAGTAATATTCCATGGTATATATGTACCACATCTTCTTGATCCAGTCATCTATTTTTGGGCATTTGGGTTGTTTCCAAAGCTTAGCTATTGTAAACAGTGCTGCTATAAACATAGGAGTGCAGGTGCTCTTTGGAATTGATGTTTCTGTGTCCTTTGGGTAAATACCTAGGAGTGGAATTGCTGGATCATATGGAAGCTCTATGTTTAGTAGGTCCAGAAATCTCCACACAGCTCTCCATAGTGGTTGGACCAGTTTGCACTCCCACCAACAGTGCACAAGAGTTCCTTTTTCTCCACATCCTCGCCAACATTTGTTGTTGCTAGTTTTTTTAATATGTGCCATTCTCACTGGTGTGAGATGGTATCTCATGGTAGTTTTTTTTTTTTTTTTTTTTTTTTTTTTATTTTCTAGAGGCATGTCTTATTTATTTATTTATTATTTGTTTGTTTGTTTGTTTGGTTTATACATGCACTGGGTACAGTCAGAAGCGCGGGAGGGTGAGAGAATTCACCAGAGCCAGAGCGGGGAGCAGAGCAGGCAGAAGGACCGAAGGACACTGCTGAGGGGAGCAGCGGGCGGCAGGAGAGGTCTGCGCGCCGTGTGGGACCCTCCTCCGGTGGCCAGGGAGCAACCGGGGATTGAACCGGCTGCAGAGGCTGCGGGCAGCTTCGCAACCCAGCGCTCAACCGCTGCGCCACCGGGGAGGCCCTCTCATGGTAGTTTTGATTTGCATTTCCCTGATTACAAGTGATGTTGAACATTTTTTCATATGTCTGTTGGCCTTTTGCATTTCCTCTTCAGAGAAGTTTCTTTTTAGCTCTTCTGCCCATTTTTTGACTGGATTATTTTCTTTGTTGTTGCTGAGTCTCATCAGCTCTTTGCAGATTTTTGTGATCAGTCCTTTATCATTAGTGTTGGGTGCAAAAATGTTCTCCCAGTTGGTGGGGTTTCTCTTTGTTTTTGTTATTGTCTCTTTTGCTGTGCAGAAGCTCTTTAATTTGATGTAGTCCCAGCTGTTTATCTTTCTCTTCACTATCACTGCTTTGGGTGATGTGTCTGTAAAGATGTCTTTGATGTGCAAATCCCGTAGTGTTTCGCCTATATTTCCTTCTATGTATTTTATGGTTTCAGGTCTTATGTCTAGTTCTTTAATCCATTTTGAGTTGATTTTTGTGTATGGTGTGAGGTAGTGGTCAAGCTTCATTCTTTTGCATGTAGCGACCCAGTTTTCCCAGCACCATTTATTGAACAAACTTTCTTTGCTCCAATGCGTAGTCTTTGCTCCTTTGTCAAAGATTAGTTGACCATAAATCTGTGGGTTTATTTCTGGATTTTCTATTCGATTCCATTGGTCTGTATGTCTGTTCTTGTTCCAATACCATGCAGTTTTGATGATTATGGCTTTGTAATATAGTTTGAAGTCTGGGAGTGTGATGCCTCCATTTCCTTCTTTTTTTTTCAGTAGAGCTTTGGCTATTCGGGGTTTTTGGTGATTCCATATGAATTTCATCAATAATTGTTCTATTTCTTTGAAGAATGCCATTGAGATTTTGATTGGAATAGCATTGAATCTGTATATTGCTTTTGGTAGGATGGCCATTTTAATAATGTTTATTCTTCCAATCCATGAGCAGGGGATGTCTTTCCATTTCTTTGTGTCTTCTTCTATTTCTTTTAACAGTGTTTTATAGTTTTCTTTGTATAGGTCCTTTACCTCTTTTGTTAGATTTATTCCCAAATATTTGATTTTTTTTGTTTCAATAATAAAAGGGGTGGTTTTTTTGATTTCTTCTTCTTCAGATTTATTGTTTGTGTATAGGAAGGCTACTGACTTTTGCGTGTTGATTTTGTATCCTGCCACTTTACTGAATTGATTGATGAGTTGAATTAGTTTTTCTGTGGAGATTTTGGGGTTCTCTATGTATATTATCATATCATCTGCAAATAGTGATAGTTTGACTTCTTCTTTTCCTATTTGGATTCCTTGGATGTCTTTCTCTTGTCTTATTGCTCTGGCTAGGACTTCCAGTATTATATTGAAAAGCAGTGGTGAGAGTGGACATCCTTGTCTTGTTCCAGATCTTAATGGAATTGCTTTCACCTTTTCACCATTGAGAATGATACTGGCTGTTGGCTTGTCATAGATGGCCTTTATGATGTTGAGGTATGTTCCTTGTATCCCAAGAATTTCAAGGGCTTTTATCATGAATGGGTGTTGCACTTTGTCGAAAGCTTTCTCAGCATCTATTGATATTATCATATGGTTTTTATATTTCTTTTTGTTGATGTGTTGGATAACGTTGATTGATTTTCGGATGTTAAACCATCCTTGTATCCCTGGCATGAATCTTACTTGGTCGTGGTGAATTATCTTATGGATACATTGTTGGATTCTGATAGCTAAAATTTTATTGAGGATTTTTGCATCAGTGTTCATTAGGGAGATTGGCCTATAGTTTTCCTTTTTTGTGTTATCCTTATTCGGTTTTGGTATTAGTGTAATATTGGCTTCATAGAACGTGTTTGGTATTGTCCCTTCCTTCTCAATTTTTTGGAAGAGTTTGTGAAGGATAGGCACTAATTCATCTCTGAATGTTTGGTAGAATTCATTTGTAAATCCATCAGGTCCTGGGCTTTTGTTTTTGGGAGGTTTTTAATTACCATTTCAATTTCGCTCCTTGTAATTGGTCTGTTTAGGTGTTCTATTTCTTCTTTATCTAGCTTTGGGTGATTGTAGAGTTGTAGGAATTTGTCCATCTCCTCTAGATTGTTGAACTTGTTTCCATATAACTGTTCATAGTAGTTACTGATTATTCTTTTGATTTCTGCTGTGTCCGTTGTGATTTCTCCTCTTTCATTTATGATTCTGTGTATTTGTGCTTTCTCCCTTTTTTCCTTTGTGAGCCTGGCTAGGGGTTTGTCTATTTTATTTATTTTTTCAAAGAACCAGCTCTTGGTTTCATTGATCTTTTGGATTGTTTTTTTAGTTTCAATTTCATTTATTTCTGCTTTGGTTTTTATTATTTCTTTTCTTCTACTGGTTCTGGGGTTTTTTTGTTGTTCTTTTTCTAGATCTTTGAGCTTCGAGATTAGGTTGTTTCTTTGAGTTCTTTCTTGTTTTTTGATGTGAGCTTCTATTGCTATATATTTTCCTCTTATTACTG